ATACAATATTTGAATTTAAAAATCACCTAAGTTAATAAGTCCCAAAAGGTGAAGCCGATTGTGATTGGGATTTTGATTTTGATTGCGATTTTGATTTCCTTTTGCTTGGCACCATATGAGCTTTGGATTTTGATGAGGATCCATATTTTGGTAGAGGAAAAGATGATTGTGATGGCACTGGTGATCCACGGGTCAACCTTGTATGATCACTTTCCTTGCACCGACTACATGTTGATATCCTCTTCTCTTCACCCTTAGACGATATACGATCATGATTTTTTGGTCGACCAGGTAGTCTGCTGTCCATGACTGGTGGCAAAACTGTTTGTAAGTTATCTGGTATGTCCCACTCAGAAGGATGTGGAATAGGGTAGACAATCTCGACATAAGTCTATCGATATACTTCTGTAGTGTAGCAATCCATAGCGTATGCGCTTGAATTATCTTGGTTTAGATGAATAGCAAGTTTTATAACATGGTCACACGGATAACCAGATGTTTGCCATTTCATACAACTACACGTCTTTGCATTTAGATCGACAAGCCCATTTAAGTTATTATTCAATACTTCAAACAAAGTGTTTAAACATGGTTCAACTCTCCATGACGTTGACTTCACAACACGTTTCGTTATCTTTTTTTCAGTCCATGGTGTAACACGACGTTCCAATGTTCCAGTAAATTTAAATAAATAATACTTAGTAAAATATATTAAATATGATAAGTTACAAATTTAAAGAAATAATACCTGCATGGTTTCTTTTCTTGTAGTACCACTGTTAAATAGAGGCTCGAAAAAACTCCATTAACATAGTAATGGGTAATTTTCGGGAATGACGACTTAGAGTGTTGATTGATTCTGTACTATTAGACGTCATGAAACCATATCTTGCCCCAAGTTGATGTACTCTTTACCATCTTTCAAACCCAACATCTTCTAGTGCTTGAGCATATTGAGGCAAAACATGACTTAAACAATTTATATGCTTATTAAAATCCACTTCCCGATAAGCTTTTACAGCATTCCAGTATGTCTATTTGTGATTTTTTATACCAACAGACCTTGATTTTAGATTTATGTACAAATGAACACCACAAAGTCCATGAAAAACATCTGGGAAACACCTTCTAACAGCATTGTCAATTGAGTTTGCCCTATCGGATATGATTGTCAGATTGCTAATAGGACCTATACAATCCCTATGATGCCCCATAAACCATGTCCATGAATCAGAGGTTTCAGATTTGCCAACCCCGTAAGTTACTGGCAGTATCCCATTGTTAGCATCCATGACTACTGCTAATAAGTTTACTCTAAGGTATCGACCTTTCAAATCTGCTCCGTCAACTATAATAATTGGGCGCATGCAATTAATAAACGAACGAATCTACAAAATAATATACACAAGAAATATAATCATTTAAATATGAAATGCATTTAACTAACAAAATTGAGTCAACAAAATTATATTGATTTACTAACCGCAGCACCAATAGCGATAAACAACAACTCAAAGCGTCCATCTCTATCTGTTTTGATATGAGTTACCGACCCAGGATTTTTTAGCTTTAAATTGTGACAATAAGCCGGCAGTTGGGCAAACGATGCTTCTGGCGACCCCCTTAACAATTCCAAGGCATAACATTTGGCTCTCCAAGCTTGAGAATATGAGATACTAATCTTGAACCGAGCATTCATGTCAGCCATAATTTCATGTCCCTGATATACTCTACCATTCAAAAACATTAACTCAGCCAGAAAACCACCCAACACCTTTTTGTTTGCCTGTCTATGGTGAGGAAAAACTTGGGTTCTTGAACATGTATGTTTATCAATAAAAGTCCTAACTTGAAACATTTCGCAATCTTTTATCCTCTTTGTAATCATACGCCACGTACAGTTTTTGTCAATCATACACCTTGTTTCGAAACGATCTTTGCTTGATTTGTTAACTTTTAGTTGATAGCCATCTTCCACACATTTCGTATACAAAACTATCTTCAAGTCTTCCTTTGTATCAAAACAATCATCTTTATTGATACGAATAACTTTTGTGTAACAATCAACTGTTATCTTTACCAACTCTTCTTCCGGTGTCTGAAGTAATTCTGGCATATTCCAGTTATACTCCCGTGGTATTTTCTTTTTTTCTTTTCTTCGGGGTCTTATTCTTCTTCTTTTTCTTCTTCAGGGTTATATGAATTACAGAATGGATTTTTAACATGTTCATTCAGAGTCGTAACTTCTTCCTCATTATCATCAACAACATCTTCCTCGGCAGCGACTGTTTCATCATCAAAATTCGGGTATTGACCAATATCAAAATCATTACACGCAGAGTCTGTTTCTTCTTCTGAAACGTCATCAAAATCCAAGTATTGACCAAGATCAAATTCCGGGTATTGACCAAGATCAAATTTTGAATACTGACTAGTACTCACAATTTTTTCCGGTGGCTCATCATCGTCTAACTGGTCAATACGAAAACCGGAATTTGGTGCTGAAAGTTGATTGGGATTTAGATTAGGGAAAGGTTGTGGGTTTTGAGATTGTGTTTGATATTGTGTTTGGTATTGGAAATGTGGTAAAACAAAATTTTATTGGTGATGAAATTGTGGTGGAACCATTAAATTTTGAGGTTGATAACAACGTTGTACATTGTGAGCACCATAAACTGGGGTTGAAGAACTTAGTTGATTACTACCCGCTACTGACCCAACTTCACTACTTCTAGGTTCAACAACATACAATGTAACATCATCTTCTTGAGAAACACTAATGTAAGCAATGAATCGTTCAACATCTTCATTGTCGGTTAACAAAAAAACTTTACATTTTCTCTGATAAGATAACTTAAATCCACTTAGGGGATCTAAATTCAATTTCTTTGCAGCACGTAACATTAGAGTTTCATAAGTTAACTTTTTTAATGACAGTTTTAGTTGAAGATTCATGGGTAAAGGCATATATTGTAAAACACCATGAACATTCTCTCATGACCCTCCAAAACACAAATCTATCCAAACATGATCAACATTAGATGATTTCATTCTACAAATTGTAAATTAATTTACTAAACAAACGAGCTATAAACTAGATATCATCACTAACTTAGAGAAAAACATATATTTATTAAGTTGATAATTTGTGAGAGAAATCATTGAAAACTATATATAGAAATAAAATTATGTAAAAAGAATTAGAGATGGGGAAGGATGTCGTTGGATATAGGAACTGATGTCGTCGGAGAGAGTGATAGATGGAGATGGAATGAGTTACGATTTAGGGATTTAGGTTATGAGTTGTTGATGCTGCGTAGTTTATATACCCAAAACATTTGTGTTGCGAAAATAAAAGCTGTTGCGAAATTAAAATTCGTGTTGCGAATTCAAAAATCGAGTTGCGAAAACAAAATTCGTGTTGCGAAAAGGAAACTTGTGTTGCGAAGAAATTCGCGTTGCGAGAAAGAAATATGCGTTTCGATTGTAGAAACTGAGTTACGAATTTGGAAACTATGTTGCGAAATTGGAGTTCGCATTGCGAATTTGTTGGTCATTTTCGCAAATCCAAAAAAAGCTTGTTAAAATCGTATATTATAAGGCATTTTCGAACACTGAAGTTATTTTCTCTTTATTTAAATCATTTTAACTGATAGTTAATTTTTGGGTAAAGTATAGTAATGGTCACTAAACTTTTCTAAAACTTTCATTTAGGTCCCCTAACTTTTAAAACTTGCAATACAAGCCTCCAACATTTAGTCTGTTTGCAATTTGGTCCCCATCGTTACACTGCCGTTAGTACGTTTACAATATGGTCACTGAACTTTTTAGGCGCTTGCATTTAAGTCCCCCAACTTTTAAAACTTGCAATATAATCCTCAATTTCATCTAAGAGGTGAATGCGATGTTTGGGATTTCATTATATTTGATCATTTGTTGGAAAATCTTTAACCACAAGGATCAAACGAAGAAATTATTATGTCATTTATACAAAATAATTCTAGTTTTGTTGATGACTTTCAACAATGATGTTTAGTTCATCTTAGTAGTATTTGTCAACTCTGTATTTCTAACCCCATTTTTTCTCACAAGCATTTCATCGAACATCTATGTTTCACCTGAGATGACTTGTATCTAACATTGCACCTTGAATCGTTGATTGTCCCGATAGTCCCTTGGTCGAGTCTTCTCTCACTGGACCCTTATTCAAGGCAACACCTCCACATAATTCAAATTTAGATTAGAATTTCCCATACATCCTCGACTGAAAAGTTACGCTGGAAATGAGAAGAGAAAAGCGAAAAACAAAATTTAAGATCGAAAAGGAATTTGGGGTTTAGAATGAAATTGAGGACTGTGTTGCAAGTTTTAAACGTTGGGGGACCTAAATGCAAGCACATGAAAAGTTCAGTGACCATATTACAAACATACTAACGGCAGTGTAACGGCAGGGACCATATTGCAAACGGACTAAACGTTGGAGGATTGTATTGCAAGTTTAAAGCTTTAGAAAAATTCAATGACCATTACTATACTTTACCCTTAATTTTTTATTGATATTTTTATTATTAAGCTAAAGGTGATTGTAAAAAAATATTTGTTTTAAGTAATTTTAACCATTTGACAATGAATGTTCAATCACCCTCACAGTCGTGGTGTTCGAACCTTTAACTACTAAGAACATCAACAATTTTTAACCATTTTATAATGAACGTTCAATCAATCTCGCAACTGTGGTGTTTGAACCTATAACTATTAAAAATATCGATAATTTTTTTAACCACTAAAGTAATTTGGTTTATATTTTATTAATATTTGTTAGTTAATTAATTAAGGGAAACTTTGAATAAAATAATTTTTTAAGAGAACACTATGCGTCACCAAAAACACGGTGTAATGTAAATGCATGGTTTTGAGTTTTGGGCAGTCCTAAATCGGCTTTGACCCAAACTTTTTCCGTGTGTAATTTGGTCAAAAACAAAGCTTCACTGTCAATTTCATTTCCACCGCCGAGTTTTATCTTAGTCATTACAATATAAAAATCGTTCTAAAAGAAATTGCCAAATACTGGAAAGTGTTTACAAACTATGGAGAAACAAGCTAAACCCAAAAACAAGATCCTCAAGTTCTTGCCCAAGGCAGCTTCATCCGTGAGTTTCAGCTTTCAAAACCATCCGTTTAGCCCTGGGAAGCATAAAGCCTTTGTAGGGAAAGGATTCTCCGGTCCCATCGTTACCATGATTCCGGCTGAAGCTCGAACAAAATCCAAGGCTGATACCTTCCAAACTCAAGAACCGACTTCACCCAAAGTCTCATGCATGGGACAGATCAAGCATAAGAAAAGTAGGCTTGTTTTGTCTTCTAAACCTAAAGCCACGACTCCCGTCTCTGAATCTTCTCCTTCCGGACAAGTAAAGAAGCATGCATCGAAGTTTAGGCGGATTTTCAGTATGGGGAAACCGACAAAGAAACCTGAGCATGCGCCGAAAATGCCTGATAGAGCGCCTTCTTTGGGGCAAATGAAGCGGTTCGCAAGTGGGCGTGATGTTTTTGCTAGTTTCGATTGGACGACTCAGATTGCACCTTTGGAAGCTGATCATCTTAGGGATTATTACTCTGATGAAGATGATGAGACAAGAGATAGTGATTTTGAAGAGGAAGACATGATCATTCCCTTCTCAGCACCAATCACGGTTGGTGGTGGTGGTGGGGTGCCTTTGCAGCCAAGGAAAGAAATTAACATATGGTCCTGTGGAAAAGAAGAACCATGAACCCACCTAGACCCCTTCAATTGGATCCCATGGTCACCGCAAATTGATTGTTTTTTGTTTTAAATATATTTGTTCCCCTTTGCCCTCCCCGTTCTTTCTTCTTCTTTCTTATATACAGTCAGATTACTGCAAACATAGACTGATAAAACATGGCGAAATCTGTAATATAACTGAATCTGTTGCTTCCTGGTTTCTGTACAGATAAAATATAAAATATTTCTTGATCACTACTTCTTCTTCTTCTCTTTTTATGGAGATTGCTGTTAAACAAAGTGTTGCATCGAACAGGGGATAAGGATTAGCAGCAGCGGAGTCCCGTAAAATCTAATAAAATTTTCGTTTTTCCAAATCAACACTACTTTATCCTTGGTTATACATAATGAAAGAAGGGTCATGTTCACATGACTAATGTATGTATATTCAGCTTTGATTGCCTGTAAAACACTAAAACTTGCTGTTATATTTAATATGAAGAGATGAAATTACTAACAGGCTGGTGTGTGTTTACAAGTGAAATCTCTGTATCAAAATTGTGGCCGCCTGCCAAAATGGAAAAATACTTATAAATCAGGCATAGCATGGGGTGGTTTAATAGTCAATTATGGAAGACAGGTGGTCCAATTTGGACATGCCAACGCCTCTGACAATGATGTTCGACCTTTCATCAACGTCTCTGGCAACTCTATACTTTTTTTTATAATGGAAGGACTCTAACAAATGATGCTCTACATAATTTAAAGCAATTTCTTTTATGCCTCTCTTCTTGTTTTTAAGGATTTTAAAAGTGATTTGTGGTCATATATGATCGTTTGTAACGACTAATTAATGGGTAAAGAGATATATATGACCCCATTAGAAATTTCTTATTCTTTATGTTCATCATAGTCTCGTTGTCTGATTTTTAATCTTAAAGCTTAAATAATTTAGAATAATTTAGAATAATTAATTATGAATAAAGTATAGAAAATGTTGGTCCTTGTTTAGATATAGATTAATGTGGAGGACGATTCCATTTCATTACTGTAAAACGCACAATCCAATATAATAATCGATGTTTTTGTATTAGTTGATTTTGAGATCCCCCATTAATAAGTAACTCGAACTCCCTGGTATCTCAGAATCTCCCCAATAAGCTCTCCTTTCCCAGAACCAACATACCTTCCGCATATCTCTCCGTCTCTGATGAACAAAAACGTCGGCACCTCGACCACATCCATGTCCTTGAGGAACTGCATGCAGCTGTCGTTCTCATCACCGTTCATCCTCGCAAACACCACAGAATCCATCTGCTTAGATAGCTTAACCACCGTCGGATACACCTTGACACAAGGCCCGCAATGTTTGAGCCCCACGTCCAGAACAATCAGCTTGTGGTCAAGCTTGTGGTCTTCGATGATCTTCTCCACGTCCTCTCGACTGTGAAGCTGAACCACACCCGAATGACTGTCGCCGTAGTACAACACATCGCCCATAAGCTGGTCTGGTCCGATACCTTCTTCTTCATGGATTTTCTCCATGCTTTTGTAGAAGCTGAAGTGAGGGACTTTGGTGATTTTCTCCCTTTGGCAAAGCTCCCTGGTCTTGTCTGATTCGTCACCCATCACGAGGATGAATTCAACGTCGTTGCAAGTCCTGCTAAGTTCCACCATAAATGGGTAAATTCTGCTGCTGTGGTAACTGTAGCTAGTGGCATATTCGACCACAACAAGCCTGTTCTTAGCCTTTTTAAGAGCTTCGTCAAATTCCTCGATGCTGTGAACCTTCCGTACTCTCTCATCACTTGGAGCATCCTTTGTCCCGGGAGCAGCAGTGGCCTTGGTAATGAAGCGAGGCGTTGTTGTACTGGTTTCTGGTTTAATTGAAAAAGGTCTTGGCCTAGTAACAAAGGATGATGGCAGAAAAGAACCATGAGAGCGAAGAGAAGTGATTCTTGGTGCAAAGTGAAGATCAGAAAGAGGTGGTTTAGTTAAGAAATTTGTGATTGCAGCCATTACGAGATGAGGCAAAGGCAAGTGAGAAAGAATTAACGATCTTCTGTAGTTGCTTTGGGGGTCTCCACCTTCAGGAACAAGAACAAATATGGATTAAAAATATCTAAAATTCTAGTCGTCGAAGATGGTAACCACTCGTTTTGGCTTGTTCCATTCATATTATCCACATATTTTATTGTCATTCTTTTCTGCATTGTTGTTGAACACTTGGGAAGGTAGATTTTTATACGATCACTCACTTGGCTTGATTTTTCATTGTCGTCTTCGTTGGTGAAAAATAAATACAGAACTTTGTTTTGAGGTTGTTATTCAAACTAGAGAGTTAACATATCTAAAGTCTCCTTCACAAAAATCAACTGGGCTCCTATCAAATGGCTTAGTTTGAAGTTGTTAACTTGGCATGTGGAGACTTTATAACCAGGCTCCTACGTTGAGCTACACATGGGTCTCTGGGGTTTAAAAACTTAAGAAAATTAAGTTTTAAAAAGCATATAATTTTCAACTATATTACATTTCTTTCACACTTTCCCTTTATTTTCTTTCTAAATTGGAATAATTTGATTTTACACATAAGAATAAAATATAAGATCATTCACATTTCTTTTCTATAAGCACACTTAAAATTTGTTTTATTATACTTTTCCACTCTCTTCTTCTATAAAATAAAATTACTTATCAAAAAAATCTAAAAAAAAATCAACACGTGAAATTTATATAAAAAAATGAATGAAACTATCATAAATAACTCTAAAAAAATAATGATAAAATTACCCTGAATATTTACACAAATGGTCACTTTGTCCTCTGTTCTTTTCTTGGAGCATTTTATCCCCAACGTTTTAATTTTTATTCAAATACCTTGTTGGGGAGAAATCGTTAGTTGACTAACAATCAACCCATGTTAGAGATGTGGCATTTTTATGTGTCCAATTGGCGACGTGCCATATGTTAATCATCATTTTGGTTGATATCACATATCATACTTTGAGTGGCGTGACATGAATTTGTCACAACGCACTTCTAATGGGAGACAAGCTCATGGCTACATTATTTACCCGCTTTATAACCCATAACCGAAATCAATCCTTCATGCGTTGAAGTCCTACTCAAAGTCACGCTCCACTCTTGTCCTTTCAGGGTTGAACGCCACGCCGGTAGACTGGCAAGCCTGCTCGTGCAAGGCGTGGCTTGAGAAGGCGGCTTCCTCATTCGATCGTAGTGGTTTCACCAACTTTATTGTTCTGCTTTGGAACATTTGGAACAGGCGCAATAGGTGGGTGCATGAAAGAGAGTTACAAGCCGATCGAGAGGTGATATTTGCAGCGTGGGTCCTGGTTCATGACTATTCACTGGCCAATGACACTTGTTTATTAAGATCCTTTATGTTGAGAGCTATCCCAAATCACAGTATGAAGCGGCCATTAGAGGGATTCACTAAGGTCAACGTTGATGGTACATTTGTCTTTAATAAGGGCGAGGCTACAATTGAGGTGGTTGATCGCGATCACCATGGAATGGTGTTAGGAGGTGTTGATCGCAAGCTTGAGTCTCTGCAAACCCCGAAACAACAAAAGCAATGGCCTTTATCCATGGCATACGACTGGAAATAAAGAATGAATGGAGTAGTGTTACCATTGAAGGCGATGCAATTTCTATTGTCAATCGACTTGCAAACCGTCAAGTGGCTTCCACAACTTGTCTAAGATGATCAACATTACAAATTAGGCTTAGTCTTTTAACCATTGATGACGATGTCTTTACGACAAAATGATTGCCATAACGATGAGCTTTGTGCATTTGATGAGTATAAGTGGATCAGTGCCTATGTTCCCTACAACAGTATCACTCATGTTCACTAAATATGAAAAAAGATAAATGCGTAATCGAAGTAATTCTCAAGCAACGAATCATTTTCATTGATCCTTTTAACTGTCGCCTGAATGATAATTCAAGCAATTGAAAAATATTGGCATTGATGAAAATTGCCACCTCCCAAGAGCGCAATCAAATCTTCACCGAGCCAGAGCCAGAGGCTCCTTTGAGTCGGTTGATCTATCTATGTTACAACGGCGTTCAAAGCCTGTTGCTTGACAATTCCGGCATGTACTAATTGTTGCAAAATACGGCTATCGGATAGAGCAAAATCGCAACTGATAATTTGAGAAAATAAAAATGAAGATAAAGAAGACACAAATTTTACGTGGAAACCCCTAAATAATATAGGGTAAAAACCACGTGCAACGGTAGAAGAATTTCACTATGAGAAAATAGGAATTACAACTTCTCTCAATCTAACAAGGAGAAAACAATAACAATTCTCTCTTGATAAAAAGGAGAAAACAACTCTCAAGAAAACTCTCTAAATTCTCTTAGTATTGAGAGAAAGCTAAAAATGATTTGAGGTGATTTTGTAGCTAAATGGGTTAGGGTATTTATAGTTGAAACTTAAGAATTAATCTTGTAAATATCTTAAAGTATAAGGACTAAATGTGCAATTTTACCATCCATAAAAATCAACAATTTCTGCACCAAATTTTGACAAATTTTTTGTGCTTTCGGTGCAACAATTTGCACCACCGAAATTGCAAATTGCTTTGACTTTTCAACAATCTTCCACTTGAAGATTTGATTAGAACAATCATATATTCACATTATTCTTTCTACCTTATACCATCATGTTTCTTACGTCTCTTACAGGCCACAAGAGGATCGACACCAAGTAAATTTATCGGCATTGATCACCTTCGTCATGAAATCTACTATGTTATCTTTGGTATGGATCTTCTGCATATCTACCGTCCCTTCTTCCACCTTTTCACGAATGAAATGGTACTGAACTCGTATGTGCTTTTTCATTGAATGAAATGATGGATTCCTTGCTAGATGCAAGGCGCTTTGACTGTCATAAAACATAGATACATACTCTTGATTGTGCCCAAGCTTCTCCAATAGTATCTTCAACCAAATTGCTTCTTTACTGGCTTGTGTAGCTGCTACATATTCTGCCTCTGTTGTGGATGTAGCCACAACTGACTGTAATTTTGAAACTCAGCTTACAGCTCCACAAGAAATTTTGAATACATATCATGTAGTAGATTTGCTTTTATCTAAATCCCCTACATAGTCAGAATCAACATACCCATTGATAAGTAAATTTGATCCTCTGTAATATAATGCAACATTTGAGGTCCCTTTGATGTATCTCAGGATCCTCTTTACTATATTCCAATGCTCTTTGCTTGGATTCGCCATGTACCGACTAACCACTCCCACTGCTTGTGCAATGTATGATCTTGTGCATATCATAGCGAACATTAAACTTCCAACTGTCGATGCATACGGCACTCGAGACATCTCCATCATTTCTTCTTCACTGCTGGGACTCATACTGGAGGATAATTTGAAGTTAATAGGAAAAGGGATAGAAATTGGCTTACAATCTTGCATGTTGAATCGTGACAATATCTTATTCAAGTGATTCTTTTGTGAAAGCCAAATCTTCCTATTACTTCTGTCTCGGTGAATTTGCATCCCTAGAATCTTGTTTGCTGATCCCAAGTCCTTCATTTCAAATTCTCTAACCAGTTGTGCCTTCAATTCTTCAATATAGTATTTGTTGGGTCCTGCAACCAACATGTCATCCACATACAACAACAATATAACAAAATCTTTATCACCAAACCTCTTGAAATAAGCACAAGGGTCTGCATTAAGTCTGTTGTATCCAAGGCACATAATGAAAGAATCAAATCTCTTATATCAACACCTCGGCGCCTGTTTTAGACCGTACAGAGATTTGTTCAACCTGCAAACCAAGTTTTTCTTTTCTTTTTCTTCAAAACCTTCAGGCTGTAGCATGTAAATCTCTTATTCAAGATTTCCATGAAGAAAAGTTGTTTTAACATCTAGCTGCTCTAGATGTAAGTTCAATGTAGCACACATTGCCAAAACTACTCGAATTGTTGTTAGTCGAACCACAGGAGAAAATATTTTATTGAAATTAATACTTTCTTTTTGAGCATATCCTTTGACCACCAGTCTTGCACGATACCTCTCCACTTGATCGTCACCATTTCGCTTGATTTTGAAGACCTATTTGTTACCAATTGGCTTCCTTCCTTGTGGTAGTGGCACAAGGTCTCATATATTATTTTTATGAAGGGCTTCAATTTCTTCTTGCATCGTCATCATCCACAGTGAAGCATCTGAGTTGTTTATTGCCTCCCGGTATATTGATGACTCATCGTCCTCTGTTAAAAGGCAGTATGCAATATTTCCTTCTATAGCATAATCTGAGTGTCAATTGGGACATCTTCTCACACGATTTGATTAACGAGTTGTTGGAGATTCAGAACTCTCTAGTTCTTGTTCATCATATACTGGTTCTACTTCAGAAGAATCTCCTTGTTCAACCTCCTTTTCCACATGTATCTGTGTAGTCTTTGACTTTTCAGCTTTATCATCGTCTTCTTTTCTTTGTAGTTTATCTTCTACAAAGATAACATCCCTGCTGATAATCACTTTGCGGGCAATGGGATCCCACAAATGATACCCCTTTACACCATCATCATACCCTAAGAATTTGCATTTCTTGGATTTTGGATCCAACTTTGAAATTTCTTGGGAGTTGTACATTACGTACACAATACTTCCAAATACATGGAGGTTTGAATAATCAGCTGGTTTACCAGTCCACATCTCCATTGGTGTCTTCAGCTTTATTGCAGTTGATGGAGCTCGATTCACCAAATAACAAGTGGTATTGACTGCTTTTGCCCAAAATGATTTTTCTAGGCCTGTAGCCCTCAACATTGCTCTTGTTCTTTCTAACAAGGTTCTATTCATCCGCTCTGTCACTCCATTTTGTTGAGGAGTGTTCGCCACTGTGAACTGTCTTTTGATGCCTTCTTTCCTGCAAAAGTCATCAAATTCTTTACTTGTGTATTCTCCTCCATTATCTGTTCTGAAACACTTGATCTTATTTCCATAATCAAGTTTCACCCACGCTTTGAAGTTTTTGAAAGTTGAAAATACATCTGACTTCTTCTTAATAGGGTACACTCAACATCTCTTCAAGTAATCATCAATAAATGAGACAAAAGTATTTTGCTCCAC